GGAAGAAAGATTGTGTGCACCTAGGTTGCTTTTTCACGTTTTGCCAACACACTCTCACCACTTGTCAGCACAGTGTAGTGCAGGAGTGCTCTGAACTTCATCCCTTGTCATATGAAAATGTACTCTAAATTCTGCCAAGTACAATTTAAACATTTTTGAGGAAAACTGCATTCTTTGAAGCACTCTCTGGCTTCTTGTCTTGCTTTGATATTTTTGCTTGAAAGGGTCTATAATGAGGCAGTTGCAAATATAAGTTACTAAGTCATAATGCACTTGAAAAGCTGTCTTCCATTGCCTGTTTTTATGATTTTGTTTTTCTGATTTTGAAGGGGTTTGGCTGTTTAGTGAATAGCCATGTTACTGATACGTTTTGCCAACCTCACACAGTGTTGTTGTAGCCAAGTTATGATGGTACAGTCTGGATGGATGGGCAACAGGATGGATAAATAACCAGTTGTGTTGGAGAGTGGTAGTTTATGGGTCATGCCCTGTGTAGAGGCTGGTGACAAGCAAACACACTGTTCTGTCCTGGAGGAAGCAATGGACACCTGGCAGCAGGGAAGGCCACAGCACCCTGGGCTGAGTGAATGGGAACAGGGCCAGGAGATGAAGGGAAGGGATTATCCTCCCCTGCTCAGCATGTCTTTGTGTCTTGTCCAGTTTCAAGTCCCTCAGCACAGAAGGAACATCAAAAACCAGGAGTGAGTTCAGTGAAGGGCTGCTTGAAACTTTGATATTTGTAGCAAAAGCAAAAAAGGCTGCAAAGAATGCTTGCGTGCATTTTATGGTCTGGTCGGATGAGCCTACAAAAAGCAAATGAACTACAGAGGGAGGGGGACAAAGGGCATTTTTTGCATTACTCTGTGTCGTTCTCTCTTTAGAACAGATGTAGGTTCTACTTCACATGAGAACTATAAAATTACATAATAAGTTAGTTGAAGAGAAGTAAACTGATTGCATAACAGTATGGAAGCACTAAAAAGCAATCCATTTGGACAACTTGACATCTTTCATATTAGGCCTAAAGGTTGTATTAGCCATGTAAACAAACAGTGTTTTCAGTTGCTGATTTTTTTTTTGGTAGTCATTCTTCTAATTCATTTTATTTGTAACCACACTTTTCTCAGGAAATCTGTTGTACATAGCTGAAAAATTTTTTATATTAAAGTATAAAATGGTAATTTTGTTGATTGGATAGAAACTTTATTTACTGTGGCAGAATTTTAATTTGTAAAAAGTGTCAACCAGGCCTAGGAATGATATCAGAAAATGATGTCCCCTATACTTGATTTATGTGGTTATAAACTATTTTAATTTGTTCCTTTGGAGTTTGGATTTTTCTGGTGTCTAGTTCAAACATTTCAGATACAAGGCGGGGGAGTTTTACCCAGAAATAGAGTTAATTTATAAATCACAATATTTTATAAAGTCATTAAGAAATAATTTGTCCTGAGATCCTGGCTTTAATAAATTAATCTTGTCAAAGGAATACAGCGTCTGCTTAGCACAGCTCCTGTCTGCAGAAAGATATCAAAAATGCAAATTGAGATGTGGAAACATGGACCAAATAATATTGTGCTTGCAGTCTTGCCTTGATTCCTAAGTCTTTGGCCTATTTGTACATCTCTATGGTGATCTTTTTTTCCCAGGAAAAAAGCTGAGGGGAGGAAGCTTTAAGGGCTACACTCTAGACTCTGGTTTTGGTTTGTTTGTTTTTTTTTTCATTGACCTCTGAGAGCACAGGGCAGTCCTTTTAATGACTGGAATTAACTAGTACAGCTTTCCAGCCTCATTAGGTGGTACTAGGCACGATCCACAGGGACAGAAGCAGATGATGACTATAACTTTTTCTCATGCTGAGGTGTTTGGAGAAGTAGGGTCATCCCCTGACACTTCCTGATAAATCCTCACCTGGCCAGAGGAGGCGAGGGCAGTGCAGCATCTCAGTAGGGGTGCACATGCCCAGGGGCTCCTTCAGGCTGGGGTGACCCATCCCGGGGTCAACAGACTTCTGTGCTCCAGCACCTGCACAGGGAGGGTGAGGAAGAGCTGTGTTGGAGGAGATGAGGTTTTGTAGCACATGAAGCTCTGTGCTGCCTCTGCGTGGGGCAGTCGGGCTGTGGGTTGTACCTTGACTGCAAGGGAGGGGAGCCAGGGGTTGGCCATGGGGCTGTTCCTGAGGATAGTACAGAAGGCTGTATGTCAGCCCTTGAGTTTTCAATTTTTAAGAAATGTTTTGCCTGCTTTTAGTTTCTGTTCTGTTAAAGATCATCTGGTGGAGAATTAAAGTCACCTTTTATTTGGGTTATCGTGACAATTCCCAATTCCTGCATGTCTGCATCTAATTGTGCATTTTCTGTGTAGTTTGTCTTTTTTTTTTCTGTGCACAGCAGTGTGATTGAGACATAGGTGCAGTTAGTAATTGAAAGGTACAATTTTATGGCAAAAGGAACAATACAATAGTATTTTAAATGTGACAGGTCTCAGTTTGCATCCTGGGAAGAATTCATATAAGCAGGGTGTGATGGTATATGGATGATTCTCTTTCTTAGAACTCCTTTGGTGCTGTCTCTATTCAGTGTTTTATAAACTACACTTGGCTTATGGAAAACGTAATTCTGAATAGCTTTGTAAAAGAAGCAAACATCCGTTTTCCATGGTTTCACGTTTGACTGTTGGCTTCATATAGCCATCCTTAGCATTTCTGATAACAAACAGAAACCCCGAATGTAGCAGTTGGATTCTGCTTAGCCAAGCAACTTTTATTACACCTGGCAGAGCATGAAATCGTGCAGCAAGGTTCTTGATGTTAACTCTGTAACAGACTTTGGAGAACAAACCTGTGACAGCTCTTCAAGATTGTGTATCTAGAGTTTCTGTGGAACACATCAGCACTGCAGGCAGCTGTTGCCATTTAGCTTTGGCTGGGGACAACTTCAATTTAACAGAACATTTTAGGCAGAAGTTAAAAACAGAGTGCTCAATGTTAAGAAAGAGATTGCATCAGTCTCATATCTTACTTGGATGCCATCTCTGTTTCGGGGTTAAAAATATCCTGAACTACCAATATAGAGTGCAAAACTGTCAGAATGTATCATGAGAAAGACAGGAAATTTCTGTTGTCAGTGAGAGCCTCTGGCTTTTATTATTACAATTGAATAGCATTTCTGCATCATAGACAATGTTATTAATAATTGCTCATCATTCAGGCCTGTATTAAAGGAGTTGCTCCAGGGGACACAGAGTCATCATACACCACAGTGTAATTGATAATAAAGACATGTTGCCTTCAGGGAAAATGCTTTCCTTTTTATACACTGATGTTTTACTTCTGAAATCTGCTTTAAGAAAAAGATTTCAACTTATTTACTGATGTTTTAATGAATATTTGGTGTGTCAGATAGCCCAGTTTTCTGGCTTCTTTTGGAATCTCTCACAGCTCAGTTGCTTCTGTGTATGATCTGTGACCTTGATGCAGGCAACAGAGTGAATTACTGCTCTCTGATGCTTTTGCCTGGTTTAATAAAACATGCTCTGAATTTGGGTAATAATCTCTATAATGGTAAATGCATTTAATGAGTGTCCGTGTTGTAAAATGTTATTAACATAACATTTTTCCTGGAAGACTGACACAATGTTTGTCCTAAAAAGCCTTAATGCTCTTCCAGCATTTATCCATATGGATGCCATATTCTAGCTGTGTCTCTCTGGTGTGTGAAAGCTTGGACATTTTTCACCCAGTGGTATTTGTTGGACCTTCTTCTAATAGGTAGAACAGAACAGACCAGCAGCTCTTCATGCCACCTCCATCCCTTCCATCAGCAGCTCAGCTGTAGAAAAGTCTTGTTTTATTGTAAGCAGAGTGCTCATGAGACTGGTCCAGGAAAGTGAGCAGAGAACTCTGGGAGGAAGAGTTCCAGTTTACATATTCCTCCTAATAAGCAATTTTTCTGAAGTATAGTCTAATAGTGGTCTGGCTACAGTTAGTATTTCAATAGCAGCCACATCTTTTTATTTTTGAAGATGTTATTCTTCACTAAACAGCACGATTCTTTTCTTTGTATATCCTCTGGCCAGTCAGTGACTCCTGTAGAGCAAAACGGGGGAAGGAGTTCTGATGATATTCCACCTAATGCTTCCTTTGCCATAGGAGGAAAGAGGAGCTGCCAGAGACCCAGCATAGCTACGTCTAAGCAAATTCAGTTGTCTCTGTGTGTCTGTACAAGCTATATGAGCTGGCCCTTTCTGTTTGGTGTCATATTAGTAATTCATGGCAGTTGGCTTTGCATTTATGGTGTTGGTATCATCATCGTCTTCTCTGCTGCTGTATATTTATTAATGCCTGTGTGGTGGTGTCTTTAAAAACAGCACTGATTACCTACCTCCTGTCAACTCAGGCTGCCTTCACAGTTTCTGTGAATACATACCTGTGCTACATGTAGGATATCCTTTAAAGGATTTTTCCATTCTGTCTGAAGGCTGACAGAATCTCAGACACATATGCACACACACACACATATATGTATGTATGTGTATTTATGTGTATGTACACATAGGTATATATGTATCTTTCCAGTTGCTTTGTGGTGGAAATGTGCTGCAATGTTCAAATTAAAGGCATTACTTCTGTGTGCATGAGGTACATATGATTGCAGAAACATCATTATCTGAGCTTTTTTTGGCAGGCTTCTAAAATCCCTGTTGTTGATGGACTGGGGCTTTCAGGTATTCCTGTTTATACAGCTCAGGAAATTTGCATCTTGCCTCAAGATAAATAGTTATGACATCACTTTAATGTGAAGGTTATGCTGCCTAATATAGTATTCTTATCCTGTTCTAAAATGTAGTTGCAAAGCCCAGAAGCCTTCTTTCATAACAGCCTGTGTTAACAGTCTGTAGTAACAATCTGTCAGTATTGAACTGCTTCCGTAGCTTTTAAATTCTGAAAGTCAGAGGGATATACATGCAATATTTTATTTATTTGTTTGTTTTATTCTCAGCTGAACTAGATGCTGAACATGCACAGAAGGTTTTGGACATGGAGCACACCCAGCAGATGAAGCTAAAGGAACGTCAGAAGTTCTTTGAAGAAGCCTTCCAGCAGGACATGGAGCAATACCTTTCTACGGGATACCTGCAGATAGCAGAGAGGCGAGGCAAGTTTTAAAGTACATTCCATGTAATGCACAAACAACTTGGAGAACATTGTTGAGGAGTCAGAGTCAGCAGCGGTTTTAACACACTGCAGTGTCCAAATTCTTCCTCAGAGGACTGGAACTTCAGATAGGCCAATGAAACAAACTTCGTGTCCCAGTGGAGCTAGATACCTTAGAAGATTAGTCAGACTCTGTTCCTTGTCTGAGGAAATGCAAAGCACTGAAGTGCATCTGGAACAGCACTTTTCTCTGCAGCTGAAGAGTGCATCTATGTCTATAAAGATATGGATGGAGGCAGCTGCTTCTGTCCACTGGAGTTCTAAAGCCTGGGGTTGTCACCTGGCAAGGAGGTGCCTCAGAAAAAAATTGAAAAGTGCAGAGGAAAGCTCAGGGTTGCATTTCAAAACACTTCCCAGGTGGTCGCTATTTCCATTGCGTGTGTAACATGCAGGGTGCGTGATTAGGACAGGGGAGGTCAGATAAAGTGCTCTCCTTATTATGAGATGACGCAAGTCTGGCATCTCTGGACTAGTTAAAGCACAAGAATGCCATAGACTACAGGCACTTCTGTGTGGGAGGTTTCCATCTGTTGGGCCAAAATGCAGGGATTGTTGGACCAGTAAGGAAGCAAGTGGGAAATTATGCATTCGTGCAGCAGGAAAAAACGTAGAGATTCTGTCCCTGTTCCAAGGCCAGTTCTGCTATCATTTGTAATGTCAGAGCAGGGAATGCAATCCAAGATTTCCATTTCTCTGCTTCAGTGCTATAAATACTCATCTGCAAGATGCTCTAGATGGGTAGCTAGGGAGAGGTGGGATATGTAAGTCTAAATTTGTGGTCCAGTAAGGAACTGAGTTTGGGTCTTCTGCTTTCTGTAATATACAGTCTATTAGACTAAAAGTGGATGTTGTCATGGGCTAGTACTGGACACACAGCTAGATTTGAGTGTTAGGCTACCTAACATTTGAAACTACAGCTTTTTAGTATAATGTGGAACACATGTGTATCAAAGAAACTGTTTTAATGAAAGATTTGGTCTTGCAGTATTATGTAAAACTACAGAGCTATAGTATATTTGGAAAAAACCCAATCAAATAGAAGGATTTCATCTCAGTTCACCTATGAATGCTTTTAAGAATGTAATTTTAAGTTTACATAAACCAATAAACTGCTCATTTTAATATTTGATGTTACACATGCAGCAACTAGACTTAAACCTGGGCACCCCTGAACTTAGTTGTTTTGTGTTTGCATGTTTTGTTGTTCAAGGAAGAAGATGCTTATCCAAGTATTTAATACCCTTGCAAATTGTCAGTATTATATTGACAGTAATAAGTGATTTGCTTGAGTAATTAATAATGTGCAATCCCCATGCTGGGCATGAGCCTAAGTTTTGCATACTACTGTCATTTCCTAGATTAGCTGAGAGGAAGAATGACTGCTCTCTGTTAACATTAATCCTTATTTCTGAATTTCCACATCCCTTGTATATTGACATTTAGCAACTGTGTGCTTAAATGTGTTTTTCTCTAAAAAGACTTTTAATTGAGAGAATTGGAGTGTTCCAAAATGGAAAGTTTCAACCTTCGCCCCTGAGCCCCATCCTATCATATTTCTGACAATGCTATTGCTATAAATATTGTTTCTAAAAATGTTTGGTTTTACAAAAACAGTAATGGATGTTAGTTTCACAACAAAGTTGCGCAGAGTGCTCTTGGATTTGAGCTGAAATTGCTGCTGAGCAGCTTCTCTGGGTGTGTTCCTTCCTTTCCTAGTTTAATTATTGCTAATGCACACAATAATAGCAGCTATTGAAGCCTTGGTATGTGATAACATCATGTAACTGATTGTCAGTTTGCTCATTGCACTGTTTTTACTGCAGAACCGATTGGAAGTATGTCTTCCATGGAAGTGAATGTGGACATGCTGGAACAGATGGACCTAATGGACATGTCTGACCAAGAAGCACTTGATGTCTTTTTAAACTCAGGAGGCGAAGACAATAATATGCTTTCTCCCATGCTGGGTATGGTATTACTAATGACAGCGTGCTTCGAGACACAGTGATAAATCACCAGAATTGCTCTCATTTGTAATGGATGATGTTATCTCATAAAACATTACGCTTTATGTAGATGGAATATTCTTTATCAGTGCTTTTCAAAACATTAACATTTAGTTCCTGTACAAGGGAGCTTGATGCAAAACTACGTGATATTTCTGGACTGTCTGTTTTTTCATCTAGTTAATACAGCTTCCTGCTGTATTCATCACAGTATGGATGGGTGATATGTTACACACGGTTTTAAGGTGCATTTTTCTCAGTATAGGATTAACAGAGGACGTTTTAACAAACATCAACGGAAAGTCCAGAGTGTTGCTTGGTAAATTTGGACCGGCTGTATACTGTAAGATCTTCAGTGAGAGACACTCAGAGAAGTGGCTCAACCCAGCAGTTCACACACACACACACACACACACACATATAAAACATCACAGTGTACTAGAAGCTTCTGAATAGTGATTCTGATAGCGCAGCTCCTTCATGTAGCCTTCCTTCTGCTAGTAATGTTAGTTAAATTGGATTATGTTAATCCAAATTTTTGTTTATATGTTCTGAGGAACAAAACCATATTTGAGTTCTGCCAAGCTGCAGCACGATGAGGGATCTGCATAAAGGTAGGGAATTAGTGTCTGGGTACTGGATCTTTTAACTACCAGGGAAGTATGTTTTCTCATTCAAAAACTTCTGTACTAAAATGCCTTTTCTCAGAAGAGCCAAAACGATTTTTGTTGGGGGAGATGATGAAGCTCCTCTAAAGGTACTTTTGATTTCTTCTGAAAATACAGATTGAAATATTTTTATAAAAGTACTTATAGTACTCCCTATGTACGGGTGATTAACACCTGCTGTGAATGTGAAAAGCTTACAATAAGTAGTCAAGGCACAATTGACTACTGAAGGTTTTTGTGTTTCATTGCAAAAACTGAATTCAGGTTGTTGGTTTTGGATAGGCATCCAATTCACGCATTATTAAAGTTGATCATCATTTGAGCATGCCAGTAATTACAGAATCTAGGACTGTTTTCCGTTTGCTGGGTCTTTGGCAGATGTTGGACCAAGAAGCTTTATGTCTTAACAGCAAACAGTCTAACTGGATGATCTAAGGAAGTGCAGAAACTACTAGGTGGGTTTGGCTGTGGAGTTTTTTTTTTTCTCCTAAATAGATGTAAAATTTATTAGCCTTTGAAAAAAACTTGTGTGATTTATTTTGTGCTGTAATGTGTTACAGCGTGTATGTATAGATAGCGTGTATATATGCACGTACACTAATATAACGTACCCGTGCTGTGATGTTCCAGCACTGCAGCTTTACTGCAGAGGTTGGCTGGACTTGCAGCGAGACTTACTCCTTGACAGCTATTCCTACTGCAGTGTAACAGTCTTGTGAACCTTGCTGTTGTGGTTCCAGACGATTCATTTCCCTCTGAATAAGGGATTTTTGTGCTTGGAACCTGGTCCCCTAGTATCAAACTAAATATGCAATAGTCTTAATTCTCAGAAAAATGAGATGACTTAAAGGTAACTCTTCATTTTGCTGTCAGTGGAGAAATGGGTGGTCAGGGCAAGCAATATATTTCACAATTGTGCTGAACACCACAGAATGCAGGTAAGTTATTTCAGTAACAGGTAAAAATGAGAATCAGCTCAAGACATTTAAATGTTTTCGAATTTTTCTTGCTATAAACATTGCCAGCTTATGGGCATTGGTTTTCCAACAAAATTTACATGGTAGTAAATTGAACTGAAAAATTTACTTAGCTCTGTCCCTTCTGAAAACTCCTCCTCTGTGTGTTGTGTAAATGCACGCTGGTGTACACACAACATAAAAGCAGGTGTCTCTAAAATTTCTAGTGATGCCTCATGGTTCCTAATATCACTTGCAGTCAATATAAATTCATGTACTGCCTCAAGAAGCAACTCAGTGGAGACCTACCAGACATCCTGGGGGGACACAGCCAGGATGTTCTCTGCCCAGGCAGGTTGGTCAGCAGTCAAAATTGTGAATGTACCAGTTGTTTATCAACTTGTGTTGGAATTGGAGTCCTGCCAAGGACACGTTTCCCCATAGAGTTCCTGGGTCCCAGAGAAGCTACTAAAATGTCACATAAAGTTGTTGTCCAAGTTTAGGACCAGAATTTAAGATTGCAGCTAGTTAGGAAAAGAAATGTGCCAGAGCAACAGTATTTAGTAGAAAAAGCTTCTCTTACTTCCAGATGCTGTTGTGACTTTTTCCTTGTTAAAATTTAACTTGGTACTTGGTAAGACTATGGGGACCAGTCTTAGGGCAGTGTAGTTTGAACTGCTCTGCCAATAGCCTGAGCAGAGCTAAGGTGTAGTGATCAGCTCATATCCATCTGACCCTTCTGAAACAATTTTAAAACAAAATCCCACAGGATTTTTAAGAGTATTTTCTCACTAAAGTTACTCAGTGCTGAAGGCAGGTGAGCTGACTATGGAGAAACACTTGTATAGTAGAGAAGGAAAAAAGGGCTTTATTTGGCAGAGCACATAGACAGTGTTTACATGTTGCCTCATTTTAACTTCTGACTGTCAGGAACTGTCCAGGGAAGAGAATCTAATTTTTAAACTTGAACTCTCAAACTTCAAGCAAACACTGTTAAACTGAACTTGCTTAGAAGTCTTTTTTGCACAGGATATCGAGGAAGCATAGTCTTAAAATCCCATTCCTGTGGACTTGAGCTATGGTGCAGCTGTACCAGAGGAATGTTTTCGTGCCGAGGGCAAGAATTTGTTTTGCTTTTGCATCTTCATTTTTAGTCAAAACTGGAGGTGACTATTAGTCTTCTAGTTGTTTTGATTTGGTTTTTTTATTTCCTCAGGGTTTGTGTTGGACAGTTTGTTGGGAGGATTTTCCTCTTGGTGACGATTCTCAGCACATGCTGACGTCTGAGTGGGCGTTTATTAAAGTCAGTTAGGAGGATTAAGTGGTCTTTGCTAACAGGCAAACAGGGCATCAGCTATGTCTCTTAACAGTCAGGACTTAATGCTCCTGCCATCTTACCTTATTTATCTCAAGCATTAGCGATTCTAGAATGAGCGAGAGCCATACGCACCATCAGAAACAGATTAAAACCAGCCTGTGGCTTGTATGAGAGATCTGTTTCAGAAAAGCCAAAAGCAGCTTTGTGTTTTGTAGGGATTTTTAATGGTGTTTTGTAAAAGGAGGAAAACAGCTTGAATGTGACTCACTAACCAATGCTAAGCTAATGTTAACATACTGACTTACCAATTCCCTTGACAAGCCAAAGCTTGATTTTTTTTTTGTTGTTCTTTTTCCAACTATAAGGGCCTGACACCAACACCTACGTGAATGAGATAAGTCTTCAGGTCCCGAGCCAGTCTGAGTTACGACAAAAACTGTCTTCACTGTCATCAACCTGCACTGATTCTGCCAGCCAAGATGCAAGTGAAGGAGAGTCTCCAGTTGTTCAGTCTGACGAAGAGGAAGTTCAAGTGGACACTGCCCTTGCTGCTGTAACTGAAAGAAAGTGTGCTTCAGATGCTAGTGATGAAAGTGACTCTCAAACTATTTGAATCTTAAAACCATATCCTTTAAGAATGACTTCTGAATGAATGAACAAGTGAATGAAGAGCTTGCCTGTGTAACAATTTGCTAACCAAGCATAACAGCCAGATCTTTTTACTTAGTCATACTGCCTTTTTACAAATTGCCAGTCATATGGAGGTTGGTTTTTAAAGAAAAAAAAATATGCCTAAAGCACACACACTTTAACAGTAGTCTTGGGGCTCAGGGGAGCAGTAAAACTGTTGTATATACTATGTATAAGAGAATTAAAGGGGAAAGATAGAAGTTACTTTGACCACTAACCTTTAAATGGCTGATTGGAAATACTTAAGAGTTGATGTGTAATACTGAACCCAAATTGTTCCTTGCATGTTTTCAGCTGCTGCAACTGAAGATTTAGGATCCAAACCAAAATGAAAAGTTATTTTCTACTCTTTACTACCTACTGTCTGCCTCCTGCCTTTGTCTACGAATGCAGCAGTGTTTACTGTTCTCACACTTCCTATTCAGGACCAACTTAGTTATTGTAGGTGTTAAGGAAAAAATAAGAACCTGAAAAGGAGGAGAGATGCGTATTGAAATGTTACACTCCTTGTGGAGCAGGTATCTTAGCATTGTGTAAACTCCTCTTTCGAGATAAAATAAAGTATTTCTATCCCAACCCTGTCTTTTACTTGACTACCCAAGTATTTTATCCATGACAGTGAACAGAGGAGCCTAATTCAGAAAAAAAATGGTTATTAGGAGCACCAGTGTAATGTGCTTTTCCATGGTAACATCTGTTTGACTACACTGATGCAGGCCAGCAGTGCAAGGGAAATAAACCTGAATTAATTATAAAATAAGTGCATATATTTTATAAACCTTAGGACCTATAGGCATCATCTTATTGCCATTTTTTCTGCAGTCATTTTTCTCTCTAAACTCGAGGTCTGAACATGTCTAACACCTGTTGCTTGTCAAGTCTCATGCTCTATTTGCAGGGATGTGCTCTCCTTTGAGAAGGCTCCTGGCTCCTGCTCTTCATGCACGGAGGGAAGGAATGTAATCAGAAACAGCGTAAGTAAAAGGATGAGCTGTGATGTAGATCCCTTCCAAAGACTTGCCCTGACAAACCGAGGGAACGAGGCATCTCCTGCTGCTCGCCAGCTGGGAAGTGGCCAGTTTCCTTAAGGATTCACTGTTAGCTGACAAAGTATTTCCTGACTCCTGTCTGGGAAATGAAGGCTAGAAGCTCAGTCCCTACAATAAGAGATTTACTATTCAACAACGCATCTGTTGAAAGAAACTTTTCTTGAAGGAGCTTCCTTTACTCTCTCGCTTTCCAGAAGACAGACAAAATGTCCAAAAAAGTTTTGTTTTTTTTATTAAACCTTGTAGTACAAACCTGGAAAGTAAACAAAAAACTGGCAATAAACAACATGAAGTCTTTCCTTACAAGGAAAGAGAGCAGAGCAGCGCTAATAAATTAAATGTCAAACTGTAAGCCATAGTCAGAAGTTTACTGTCAAGAGGGAAAAGTACACAGCAAGGCCATAAAAACCAGACAACCACATTTGAAAACACTTGACTCTGTTTATGTTATTGTTAAATATTCCAAAACAGTTCAGTCTTCTGCAACAACAACCAACAAATTGTATTATAGGACTTTCCTGACAGTCACCACTGGCAAGCTCAGTGCAATATGGGTAGCTACGGTATTGTTGAATTCAATTACGAAACAAAACAGTTTGTGAAAACATTTTCCCTTTTTTATTCCACACATACTGTACACACAACCAGAAAAGGGCAACAGCTACTCCATTATTATTTTTTGTTGTTGTTCAGTGATGTAAGCAGCACTTATAAATGTTACAAGAAAAACCCTGTAAGCATCCAATCCAACCGATGAAGAAAGTGAAACGTAAGGCTTTTCTTCATCTTGTCTCTTTGCCATCCCTCCCCCCACCCCAAGAAAAGGCTCAAGTATTTAAAAAAATTTACAGGCATATGTACAAAAGGTGTGATTTTTTTTTTGTTACAACATGAAGAGAAAAAATAGACAAGATGAAAGCAAATGCATTTTCACATTCAAAAGAAATATGCAGACCTGCTAGTGGCTCTAAATGTGAATCATATAATGAAACAAATTCAAAACAAAAATTAATGCTTGACTGTGTAAAGGTGTGAAAAACAGCAGTGGAATGGAAATGGAATGTTAGAAAGATTGCACGTCTATGACAAAAGAAGCACTTATGGCTTCAATCACTTTTTTCTTTTTTTTTCTTTTTTTTTTTCTTTTTAAAGGATGCTATTGAAGGGTTTTTGATAAAGTAGCCAACAGCACCAAAAAATAACAGAATGGATTTCCTAATGAAATCAGGCACAGTTTTCCCTCACATGACTCCTCAAGGCAGGCAGTCTTTTTTTCCTCTTTATTTTTTTTTTAAATTTTTTATTTTTTCCCCTCAAAACAGATGCATAGTGATGTGCTGGTAAAAGAGAACATACTCCAAATCTCCTCCTTTTGCCTACAGTTAGGAAACAAAGTCCATCTTCAGCTGCCATAACCTCCCAAAGAAAGTGTGTATTCACCAATTTAAAAAATTACAAAACTCATCTTGCTGTGACAGAATAAAAGACAGCCAAAGTAAAGCAATTTCTTTCAAGTTTTTGTCTCCTATCCCTTTTCTCTCTAGAAAAATCTGCTCACATGACTGGAGAACAAATTATAAAACACATCAAACTTTAACCTATCCAAAAAATGGGTTAAAAGCCTTTTTTCACAGTTACCAAAAAGGCTTTTTATTTTTTTCAGCCATAGGGACAATACAAATTAATATTTTATCAGCCCCTTGCCGGTTTTAAAACAGTGAACATACGGCAGTTTAAAAAAATCAGACTGCTGTATCTATCTATTCTAAGTACAAAAAAAAAAAAATTCAACAGTTTAATGCTAAAACAAAATTAGTTCTCTAAAACCAGAAGAAAATCTTCTTTAGAGCTAGTGCAAAGACAGCTTGTATTCTACAGCAAGTACTCCAAACTATGGTATAATAATTACAAAAAATATATATAAATTGACAAAATGAGAGTGTTGGCATCTTCAGGATTAACTTGAAGCACTTTTGGATGAACTGGAGGATGAAAGCCTAGATGATGGCACGTCAACTGTTGCTCTCTTACGAGGTCCTCTTTTTGGTGTAGGCTTGCTGATACAGTTCTCAATGCTGCCATTTTTACCAGATACTTTTCCACAGATTTGATTGACAAGACTGATTATTTGTTCCTGTTCGGGAAGTAGGAAAAACAAAACACAAATTAGCAACTGCTCTTCAGTCACTTAAAAAGAACAGAGATACAGTGCTCAAAAACTGCTGAGAAGCCTATCTCAAAAAGCTGCTTGTACCAAGTGCTGCTCCCCAAAAGCTGATTTTGTAATTTTTCCCACTGCTTCGCTATTTACCTTTCAGGCTAATGGTAAATTGCGCCCCACTCTCTATTCTGCCCCCATCCTCTCACACCCAAAGGAGAAATGGAGCCAGCTGGACAGGTGGAGACATGTAGCATTAGCCCAGAACCCAGGCACAGTCCTAAATCACCAACTTGAGTTCTGTGATTATCCATCATCGCATGTGCTTGGAGCCATTAACTGGACCTCTCATCTACATGTGCTCTGCAAGTCTGCCTTAAAGAATGTTCAGGCTGGACTGGAATAAGTCAGCTGAACTTTCAGTTACCAACAGAGAGAAGGTATCCTAAAGTACAGAAGTTACCAGTTAAAGCAAAGCCTCAGGTTTGACAGCATACCAAAGCATTAAATGGCTCCTCTCTTCTGTAACACATATTCATGCAGTTTATGCTTCTGGTTTCCTTTTGGTCATTTTGTTTCCCTCTATTTCTTTTACTTAGATCATAATAAAATGCCTTCTTTGCACACCGAAAAAAACCCCAAAATAACAACAAACCCAAGACCAGTTTCCTGAGGTCTTGGTAGGACAAAGGCAGAGTTAAGCCTACCCCTAAGTTTTGGGTATCAAAGCCCCCCAGCATCACACAGCTGTGTCAGTACAGACCTCATCGTAACGGTACATCATTTTCAGTCCCCGACAAGACTTCTGTTTTTCCACGTGCCGCAGGGCACACTCCAAGCAGAAGACAACATTTTCGTTCTCCTGTACAACCTGTATAAAAGAGCAGAAGTGGGGGTAAGAAGTGCAGTAAGCTCCAAATTGTAGCCGTGTTATGCACACAGTATTGAACTACTGTCTGAATGACTAAACCTGGATTTTACTGCAAGCTAGTGGAAGGAGCCATAAACATTACACATTGTGAAATGATTCAGAATGTGTAGTGAGAAGAAAGAACATATCCCTTTTTAAGTGCTAATGTTGGCAAGCACATGGAATTTGGAAAAAAACAAAACAAAACACCAACAGTAATGAAGGCTAAATCCAAATGGTATATGCATTTATTGGCATCTTCTATGTCGTCTAAAGATCTCCTGAAAGGAGTAGTTTCCCATTACTTAAAATGCTGTCTTGAATAAGGATAAAATCAGCTTAACCACAGGATTCCTCAGCTACTGTCTTGTTCGGCAGAGGTCATATTTGCTTGGCTGGCTGCCTGCCAAGCCTGCACACTCAGCTTGGAATTTAACAACCAACTTGATTTTTTGTTCCCAGCTACTGTTAAAGAGTGACAAAGAAAAATCCCTCCCACGATTACACTTACTCCAGAGCAAATGGACCAGAATTAAGAGGTTCTGGTTGGTGCTTTGTTTTGTGTTTGTTTTTTTTTTTAACAAACTCATTTTCAAGTTACTTCAAACTAGTGCTGCTTCAACAGTGGTGTAAAGGCATGCATAAAGACAGCATATTCTATCCTAGGGAGGGAAATGGCTACATCTGACCATTTACAGTTATATTTCATTTCCATTAAAAGCCTAACATCTATAACCAAAAAAACTGCTGAAAGACAGGAGGGGAGGGGAAGGGCCTAAATATGGGCTCCAATGCACTGTATTATGTTTATTTAAATATCTGTTCTTGGAATTAAATGGTACATAAGGTTGTGAGAGGGGCTTTTGGTATTTTTAATGAAATCGCTGTATTTGTAGGTGTTCTGCATACAGCTAAAAACATTGAAATGTCACCATAGTGGTTAGCACACCTTCAAAAGCCAGTAGGCAATTACTTCTAAAAAGAGAGAGAAAGTTTATGGGCGTGACTGCTGGTTTTGAACAGACAGTTTGGCAAACAGCTTGACAGATGGGATACATCTACCCTGCAATTTGGCTTGCAGGGAAATTGTCGCAGCATGGGCTGTAGCTGCATGTTTGAGACTCGGGGCATGTATTTGAGCTGCCAGCTCATCCTGAGACCTGTTCTGCCATGACTTACTACTACTGGCAACCTGCAGGTATCTCTGTTACCCCCTCCTAGTGCAATGCAAACATGCTCACAGGTGTCCAAGAGTGGCTGAGTGACTGGTTTATCCCTTTCTGACAGGGGAGAGAAGTTAGCTGACACTAACTCTTGTCTTCTGTCACCATTGGCCAAGGTGATAAATGTTCTGGCACAACTGAATCGACATCTCTGTGTCTTGCAGGGAGTGCATGAGATGACTCTGTGGTCATGTGCTGCCTCTCAAATGCTTATAGTTCAACAGAATTTTAGAACAGG